AATATCAATATATCTTTAGTTTTATTTCCTACAATTGGTGAGAAATGATATAAGTAGTTAAATTAATATATAATTTGACTTATACATTTCAACAATTTCAATAATATGCAGATAATATACACATATATAAATTATTAAGCATAAATATTTTATATATAAATAACAAACCCTATAAATGAAATTTATCTATAAAACCTACAATCACAAAATAAATTTTTACAAAAAAATACTCATAAGATATAATATTTAGAAAGGTATTTCCTAGATATTTGAAAATTCTAATTTTACATTATTATAGATAGTACTAAGAGATTAATAATAAAAAGAAAGTTGTTAAGCCACCGAAATTTTTATAAATGCACATTCATGTTTATAAGAGTAAGCAAGGTATGTATGTGAATATTGATGTTTAGAACATAAATTTAATTTTTTCTTATTTTATTTACGATACAAATTTATCTTTAACATTAACTTCAATACAAAATATATATTTAATATATTTCATTTTAGGAATATATTTAGAGATTCGTCTTTATTGCAGTATAAACAAAGCTGTGTCAAATGTACTATAACATTGTTTGGCTATCTATATGCTACCTAAACTTCGAATGCTATTTAAAATATTATCGACATATTTTTCACATTACCACGTTGAATACTTAAGCATTAATTTTTTTATTCAAAGAATAAAAGTATTCATAAATATGAATAATAATAAGAATAATAAAAGATTCGATAAATTTTAAAAACCTTGCAATTTAAGAAAACATATTTTATAATAAATTATTTTTATACTTGTTTTGACTTATAGATTTTAATTATATTTATATTTATAATCCAAAATATATTAAAAAAATTATTCAAATATTAAATGCCTTAAAACCTTAAAGTAAACAATAATGAAAAAATGTTGATAATACATTATATAAGAAAAATATTCTAGTTATATTAAAATTGTTGAACATATAATATATAAATACACTTATAAGAAAACAGTAAACTGTCTTTTTGATAATTATACACATATAAAGAAATCTTTTTATGATCAATTACCATATATGGTCATTAAAAAAAATTTTAATTTAAAATTGGAATGTAAATATATATATACTGGTATTCATATTTCTTGTATGTAAATGTACAAACTGTACTATTATGAAATTTTACACACACGCATATACCACATGCATATAAATAAAAAATGAGAATAATGAAAATAATGGTTGAATATACAAAATTAAATAAAAAACTCTATACCAAAATTATTAAACATTATAAATTTTTGGCATATTATAAGCAAATAATTTATTTGCCAATTTTTAAATAAAATAAATAAAAATAAGAATTAATAATAAATAATCTCAATTTCTATTATATGAAAAATTGAAAACAGTTACATTTACTATTTGGAAACCTGTATGATACCAATTATTAGCAAATTTCATTTAACTCGAGAGAATCTGAAGCCAAGAAAGACATTGAATTGCGAAAGGGCTTCCCTGTTCCATTTATTCATTAGTTGCAAAAAAAGAAGGCAAATAAACGCAAAATATCACACAGCAACTTAGTTAGTAGCCAACAAACTCTTCCTATTTATAACGTCACATCAGATGAACATAACAGTATCTTAAAATAACTCAGTGTTAAAAACTGCATTTAACGACAAAAGGTATTCATTTCGCAGAAAACTATTTTTAAGGCTTATAATAAATCATTTAATGAGATAAAAAAATATTTATTTTATATTTATATATAACATGATATTTTTATAGTTAAGCTATATATATATCAGCTGCAGACATATTTTCATAATTGCTATAATTTGTATTCCTTGAAGTATTATATTCTATATAAATTACTTCAAAGATAAATATAACTTAATTTTTTTAGAAATTTATTTTAATAAGTACACTTTCCATACAATATAATAATGAATTTAATATTAAAATCATATAATCGTTTAATAATCGGTCAATATTTTTATAGATACATGCCAGTGATTTTTTTTAACATGAATTTACTTAATATATTATAAGATTTATACTGTAGATTTATCTTGTAGACCTTACACAATATTATATCAGTCGATAAACATATTGTAATTCTGTATATATACGACTTAAATAAATATAGTTTATCTTAAATGAAGTCTTAAAGAAGAATAATTATTCAAAATAATCTTGAATAATCCAATATAAAAAAAATATTTCTATTATATATGAGAAAATGCAACAAAATCAATTAATAATCTATCACAAGCTTATTTAATTGAATAATGAAAGATTTAAATATACAAACAAAAAAAGTAACATTAAAAATTTACTCGCTAATTTTTAGAAATATATCAATCGCAAAATTAAATATTATTCAAAATATTATTAATTAAATTAATTCGAAAAATTTGAAAAATAATAATAAACCAAATATTCTTAAATATATATACAAGAAAAATACATTTAAATATAAAAACAATACATAATAAAAAATTTACATTCTTTTTTTCAGTTTTAATTCGAATTAAACATTTTTACTGTATAATTTTTATCGTGTAAAAAGTAAATTATGTAGCATCTTAAAATAATTTTTATGGCATATGTATACTATTTTAATATTGTATCTCACATTATTTAATTGCATTAAATTATGAAATTTTTAAATAAAATCATAAATTATTTTTTATTGGTGTGTTTTTATGAAGTTCAAGATTTTAATTGGAAAAATATTATGTATGATTTAAAAATTTAATAGAAAAAACATTCAAATTTAAATTAAGATCTCGTTAATCAAAATGAAAAATTAAATAAAGTGCTTTCATATCCAAATATTATTATCGCTATATCACATTAAAAACTTAGATTATCGAATTTTAAATGTTTCTAAATTACTGTAAAAGATGTAGTAGATTACTACGTTTTCATATTGAAATAATTAACAAATCCGTTTTCTTTTTTTGAATACTATTAAGTGCATAAGTATACTGTGTAGTTAATATTTTTTATGCATATATATTAAATTGCTTGATACCATGAATCGTATTTTAGGACAAAACGAATTGTAATTTTTTGAAACGCATTGTATATCTATATTCATTTGCCAATAATACTAACATAGTGTGATTCATGTTAAATGAATTAATTTTTAAGGCACCTGCTGATTTCTTGTTGGATGAACAAATATATTATTGTTCTTTCATTATAAATTTTCATGATTTTATCTTTTAATAGACATTTTAATTTTTTAATGTTCATACTGCAAATGTATATGATTGTTCTGCAATCATAAAATCATAACCTAAAAAAATAATAAAACATCTATTTGGAAATAATAATTACTACAATTTATTAAGAAACTAGAATTTTCTTAATACTGCATTAAAGGTATAATACTGTGAATTTGAATGTATTAATAAATTTTGAATACGAAAGCGAAATTACCAATTTTTTAATATTTTATTTGTTAATGAATAAATTTTTCTAGTGTAAATATATATACAATACATTATATACAATTAATATATTAATACAAAATCAATAATTAGAAAGATGTTTAATCTTATTGCATTGATTGAACAAGTATATTTTTTATAGTATATTTTTTTTCGAAAATATTTAGATATATCGATATTCTTACAAATTTAATTTTTAACTTTTAGGTGATGGTATGTAATAATTAGATTTACAGTTCTAAAATTATTTTGATGGATTAAATGTAATATTTAGAAACATAAAATATTGATTTTGTATTTTCCGATATATACTTTGTAATTATCTCATTTTTAAAGTATAAATAATAAAAAGGCTTAAGGATCAATTAAAGTATGTCTATATATAGATTTTAATATCAAAATATATTTGTGCATAAACAAGATGACAACTGTGACAGGTAATATCGTACCCAATATTTGTAGTCGTTCATACAGACATGCACTGTTTCTGATCTCTCTCTCTCTCTCTCTCTCTCTCTCTCTCTCTCTCTCTCTCTGTCTCTCTCTTTTTCTTTGAGTTATTCTCTTTGCTTTTTCATCTTGATCTGCTTACGTATAACTGTATACAAATATACATAAACATGATGCATAAACACATAACATTTCTTCTCATTTTCACTGATTCAATAGATTTTCACTTATTTAACTGATATTAGGGATAAATGAATCTGAGCATAAATTTATCTATAATTTACATTAAAACATATGTATACAGTTCTATGCATACATTGTGACAAGCGTTCACACATGCACTTTTATACATGTATACATTATAATACTATATATATACATACATATATATATATATATATATATATATATATATATATATATATATATTTTATATTTATATATATATTTTTTATATTATAGAATTCTAGAAATATTCTTCTTATATATGTATTTTATACAGATATATAAGTTATCCACGGGTATATATATATATATACATACATAGTATCTTGGTACTATAAAACACACAATCGCGCACGCACACACACACACATACACACAATAACTTATACATACTCTGTTCTTATATTCGTATCCTAATAATAATTTCACTCGTTCTCATACAACAATCAATAGTTGAACGAATGAATAATGAAGCCCGCTTCACACATGGTAACTAAATTTAGGACAAGAATTGTAGATAACACCATTGTGATATTTCTGTCTTCATGCGTATATTTTTCTTGTTTTTATTTTTTGTAAATTTTATAGGTTGTATTTATTAAGCGCTTCGTAACAAATCGATTATATAAACATATGTCAAACGTAATTTACAATATTCAAATCTCTCTTTTGCATTTACTCTTACAATTTTTCTTACTCCGCCTATTCCTTTTCAACATCGTTGATTTTTTTGGAAAAATATAAATATACACACACGCGCGCGCACGCACGCATATATATATATAGTTAACGTTCGATTATTTTTAGGAAATTTTGAATAGACATATATATTATAAACATATCCATTCAAAATTTCCTAAAAATAATCGATCGTTAATTATATGAATCACATTATACGTCACACAAAAATATGTTACTATACAAAATTGGTACGACCAGTTTCTTTAATTTGTTGTACTCTATTTATAGATAGAAATTAATTAGGACGAAGAAGCATGGGAAAAATAAAAATTATAAATGTTAAAATGAGATTTATAAATATTTGCATAGTATGAAAAATAAAAAAAAAAATGAAAAGTTGCACGTAAGTGAGAAGAAGCAAGATGATGAAAAAATCTCGAAAGCTCTTAATGGAGAAATACAGATTCATCTGATTAACGGAAATGATAGTCTAATTGTTTAAATGTTATTAAAGGAGCGCATTGAATCACAACACCACGTGGAAAAGCCTTGTAAGGGTTTTCATGCTAATTAATCGTATCAAGTGGTTCTTGGTTAGTCTATATTTCGTACTCATACACGTCCTCATTCATTTTTCTACTTTTAAAGCGATTGTAATTTTCACATTGCTTTCTGACGTTACGTATTCGTGTAACGATAGCACAAGGGGGTGGGTCCATCAATGCATGGGGAAGTCTCATCAGGGCTGATCCGGCCAGTCTTAAGTAGAATAAGATGAAACGCCGCAAGAGGATAGGCCAAGGTAAGACATAATACAGAAAGGTACACCAGTTAGTTTTACAGCGCGAAATGATTGGCGGTGGACAATGCTATCTGCGCACGCGCACACAAATACGAGTCACCTCCCCCGAGGCCGATCATCAATGAATAACTCAGGCTGCTCTCCGTTATTCTAGCACTATGTGATCTCTGTTACAAATGAGTCTTTTATCCTGCGGAGGCTGTTTTGCCCAGATTCGTATTGCTACATTGGCGGTCCGCCCACGTGCTGTTGAAACTGGTCGATGTGCCTTGAGATTTCACGCTGCAACTGCTCTGGGAGTACGCCTACGCTACTAAAGAGAGATCTAAGAACATTAAGTTCTTCCGAGAGGATCTCTACCTTCTTACGTAATACATCATTTTCCTTGACGAGATGCTTTACTCGCTCCTCAGTTTCACGTGAACGTACCTTCGCCTTCTCACGGCTTTTACGTACGGCGATATTGTTACGTTCACGACGTCGCCTATACTCATCACTTGCCTTGTCTACCGACTTTGACTGCTTACGTGAGGTAACAACCGCGTTCGCGAGTCCTGCGTGATGCTGCTGTTGTTGCTGATGTGCTAACACAGGCTTCATTATTGTACGACTGTGCTGCTGTTGCTGCTGTTGTTGTTGCTGTTGTTGTTGCGGCTGCTGTTGAGGATGCTGCTGATGCATAGAGTGATGGCCTGCTTGCAGACCCGAACTAGGTGTTAATGTTGTAAATGTTGGGCCTGTGCTTGGAAATGAACTGCCGACCCCTGGATTGTAGCCGCTAGGAGTATATTGCTGACAATGACGACGGTAGTCCGCAGGATCTAGTGGTTCCTCCTTAATACTTGGCGATTCGCTACTTGAACTGTTGCTGTCACTGCAACTATTGCTTCCGTGATGATAGCTTGCGGCGCTGTGTACCGGTTGAGGCATGTAGGCTAGAGTAGCAACTCGCGGATAGCCGCCTCCATTGCTAGGGACACGTGCATGTTTAAGACTGGTATTACCGTTGCCGTTACCACTTCCGGCTCCGGCACCCAGCATATCAAGTAGTCCGTCATTAAAGTGTGAATCATCGATGAGATGCTGTAAATCCAGGGAAATTTCAGGAGTGTTGAGATCCGTGAGCTCGCCTGCTACAGCACAGTGCTCAGCATACTGTTGGTGCAGGCTAGCTTTTGAAGCCGATACTTTACTTACACCATTTGTTTGTTGATTATGATTTACCTGTAGGCTACTGTTGTTGTTCTGATTGTTGTTATTATTATTATTATTATTATTATTATTATTATTATTATTGTTATTCTGGGCAATCAACTGAGTCGACTTTTTCAGATCGACCTGCATTTGTTGTTGGCCTACTTGATGGGCTTGCGCGTCGTACATATTCGGCGATTCCATCACTTGTCTTAATCACACATCACAGATATACAGTATGGTTCTCTTCTCAAACATCAATTATTCCGTTTCTTTGAGCCTAACTTTTTAACTCTTCTTTCCCCCTTTCCTTATCTTGCTTTTTTATTGTTTGTGCTTTCTTTTAATTACTTACACTGAATCAATACCAACATTTATATGGTAATTCTTGCATACCTTCTGAGATATAAAAAACTTATCTTTTAACAGACGAGTAGTTCTCACTTTACACCTATATTCACAATTTCTGAAACTCACGTGACTTTTCAAATTCAGAGAAAGAATCAACGGAATTTGAAAAGTAGTGAACAAAATCAAGTGGAAAACAGCATGCGTACAAATATCTCTCACGAGAGTTGGCGCGCGACTGAGCGCTTTCACGTCATGCCGTAAGTTTTCAAAGCCAAGCGGACAAATAGCGAGAGCGCGTTTAACGTAAATTCACCGTACGTGCCTTAGACCCGAACTCTACGCCTGCGTCCAATCAACATCAGACATTTTCTCCCACTACTGCTCTTATCTTTATTCCCTCTTTATTTTACACACTTATTTTCTCTCTTTCGCTCTGTCTTATCCGTTTGCGCTTATACCGTCTTTTTGCGCTCCACTGTAATCATTCTTTAGTCACTGAATCTTTACATCCATTTTTAAAACTGGTTTGCGACTCGCTTCTAACTTTTTTTATATTTATTATTTTCTTGGCTCGAAATTTTTTTTCTTAACGAGATTTGACTTTTTTAAATATCCATTACACAAATTATATAAATTTATTGAAGATCAAAATTATTAATTAATTAACAAAATAATTCGTACGAAGATCTTCATAATAATCGTATCAATTTTCAGAACGATTTATTTAATTTTTTAGGTAAATATTGTAAAATTAATATACTTTAACCAAATACATTTGAAATATTAAATATAAAATTTTTTTAATGTTTATAATTTAACAAACTAATTTCAATGTATACTATTTTATGCTTTCTTTTGCGTATCTGAAAACTTACTATTAATTAATATAATAACATGTTATTTAGTACTTGTTAATTAGAAGTAGCATTTTAACATTCATTGATGAAATATATTTTAAAAATTTTAATTCTTTATATAGTAAATTAATTTTAATAATGAACGTGCTTTATAACATTGTCTTGTATTCTTATATATAATATATGATTTATGTTTGTATTTTTTTTTAATAAAATAAAAAATTATAATCTAAATAATATCAGAAATATTTGTAAAATGTTTTGATCAATTACCATCTTTTAACACATTTTTGCAGCATTTCGTACTTTAGGTAGAAAAAATTTTTATTCATCTTTTTTATTCCTATTTTTAGGAGTGTAATTATATAAATCAAATATTGAAAATCAATTCATATGTTTACATGCTTTTAACTACTTTAAATTAGATAGATTGACGGTCGCGAATGAATGAAATTTAAATAAATTAAACTGAAGAGTGCGATAGCTTATATAAATTAAGGTATTACTTTTCAAAATTTTGGAAATATTACTTCTAAAATATAGTGAATTTTATAAAATAATAAAATTTTATTATAATCATAAGAAATTAAAATATTTTTTTTAGAAGCAAAATTTTAATTCAAATCATTTAAAAATATTAAATTAACTAATAAGCAGGAAGAGATATACTTCTAATGCCGTCTATATGCATTTGGGAATAAAATGCCCAAAAATATATAAATTATTTAGAATGCCAATTTATAATCAAATTACGTGAAAAGAAACAATATAAAAATTTATTAAAAAATGAAATATGTTGGTTAGTAAAGGGGCGGTTATTGAAAGCAAACTCCTCCATTGGCTTCGGGGAGGGTGGCTGTAGCAGTAACACCTTCTAGGCGGGAGGCTAATGGCCAAGCCAAGGGCGAATCCGCCGCTCTCGTCCTTTGCAATGCCATGTACAAGCCACTCCTACCTTATATTTTATCCTTTCCTTTAGCCAAAGCATACTCAGAAACCCAACAAACAGAAAAAAATACAATATCTAATTTTTTGACGATTTTTTATGAACTTATGATTCTGGCAATTCTTGGCAGCTATGTTATCAGTAATTTATAGAAAATAAGATTACAGATGTAATATTCTTTCTAATTCATATTTGAATATTACAATAAAGTCAAAATTATTTACTAGTTTTTCTACATTTTTAAAAATTGTAATTAAAGATATGTAATTTTTACTTGATTATTTTCATTCTTGTTACATATTGGATTTTATATATTCTAATTCATGGAAGTAATTAAATGAATTTAAAATATAATACATATTTTTTAATTAGTATTGCGATTAAACTACATATACTGTAGTATGTTTAACTTCTAATATACATACGATATTTAATATTTTAAAAGGGTTTATATTACAAAATGTATATTATTTGTTGTTCCAGTCAATATAAGAAGAAACTATTTATACCAAATTAATAGGCCATAAAGCAGATTTTGACACGTATAAAATATCAATTATTTATAAATTAATTTTAAAAAATATATTATTCACAATTTGTTTAATAAATTTAATTAATGAAATACTGTATTGCGTTAAACACAATTACAAAAGTAAAATAAATTTTATAATTTCAGTATTCTTAATCCAATATCAAAATCTATTTTAAGATTATAAATAATCTATAATTTTAATAATATCAAAAATTATTGTTTTAAGATTATGTCTAGCTTATAACGCAATGAAAATTGTAACGATAACTATTAAAAACTGTATCATTTGGAATAATTGTTTTCTTTTCTTAAAAAAAGGAAAGAAATACGTTGAAATATTGTTTTTAATGCTTCATTCATATATTTTAATGAAAAATATTTTTAACGGTTTTAATAATAAATATTGTACAATAAATAAGTGGAATAATTTCATTAAATTTATTTATATATAACCATATTCTTTATTTATCTTATTATTTATTTATAATCATACATTTTTAATGTAGAAAATAAATTTAATGCTAAACATTAAAGTTATACAAAATTAATAATTTTCAAATTATAGTTTTAATATTTAATATTAAATGCACCAGAACTAGAATCTGTTTTAATATTAAAAGCAATATGAATACAAATCAGAAGTTGCATAGATAAACAACGTAGAACAGATTAAAGATATATGAATCAAATTTGTAATTAAAATATTCATTTAGTTGTATAAAATTTAAAAATTAATACTTATAAAATGTTATTCAGCTATATCATTTTATCTAGCAGGACATACAACACATAATATTTTATATACTGAAAAAAAAGTAATTTGAGATTCTTAAAAAAAAACTTAACAAAACAATCATAAATCATTAAATCATAAAGAGTAAAATAAGAAATTGTAAAATAAAAAATCAATAATTATAAACTTAATAAACTAACGGGCTATACGATACTCTTAGATAACTAAATGTATGAAGTAGACATACGCAGATAGCCCAATAAATAAAAAATATAAATGGAAGGTTTGGTAGAAAAAATGTAAATTTGAAATTTAAAAGAAAATTTAATGATGATCATATATTGATTTTCAATATATGATTACGGAACTTAAAATAAAAATATCAATTACGTAAAATGAAATAATTGTTCATACATTAATGTTTCATTTTAATAATTTAAAACCGTTATAATTTATTTGCATTTACATAATTTTATTAGTTTTCAAATAATATTTACGTTTGGTAGATAATTTTAATAGGAAGTTTTGTATCGTGTCATATAAAATAGGAGGAATATGTATGGATTATAATTAGTAAAGTAATTGTAGATTTTAAAGAAAACTTGTGTTCAATACAATATAGTAATCTACATCAAATATGTATATTAACTACGCCATCTTTAGGTGGCTTCTACAATGTTTGATAGATATACTCTAAAATATCAAATTCATACAGATTCATATTTTCTGTTTCTCGACTATCAACGTAAACTACATCATATTCTGTCATTACATTCAAGGAATTAAAAATTTCTTCATTATTTTGTTTATTGCTTTTGTACAAGAAGCATTAAAGCATAATAAAGCAAATCGAAAACAGGGTATTCACATTGAATGTGAAACGTTAGAAAGAAGACAACTTAAATTAATAGAAAAAAATCTAATGAGTCAAAAGTCATCACAAGAACTGGTCGAAAAAAGGAATACTGTCTGTATTCTTTTAAATCCTTTATTTGTGCTTAAATTCTAGACAGCGTGTAATACTAGATAATACATATACTACATATAACACAGAGTGTTAGCATTACGAATTGCGTCGTGTGTATGACTGCGCGTATAATATAGATTCTGAAAAAGTGTAGTTAACTGTACAGTAAGAGCTTTTTCAATAACCTCACCATACACTGCAGACCTGTTTTTCTCTGTTCACCTTGGATGATCATAGTATCTTCAACTTAACTTTACTCATAATAACTACTTCCAACGTAAAATAAAGGAGCGGAGTAAAATTTTATCGCATCTTCAATAAGGAAAAGGTAAGTAATTTATTACAATTTTTGGAAAAACTATTTTCGAATATTTCTTTGCAATAATGAGGAATTGTATATGATATATATTTAATTATTATTATCCATACATGTAATTATTAATTCATTTAACTCTTGATAGAGTGAAAAAAAACGCTAATCAATAAGCGTAATTGGTAATCGAAATCATATTTTTGCAAAGGCGGGAATTATAGTAAAGTTAACCTACAAGTTCATTACACGCTCCGAAAAATCAGTTTGGTCCTATTTAATAATTCATTTCTTTCATTTCTTGTTACTAAGAGAGGTTTGCTTTGGTCTTAGTTTTCATAGTATTGATTGTTATACCAGCGATTATTTTTATACTATTTTTTTTTATTACTTTTATAAATTTATAAATTTATATTTATAAATTTTAAAACAAAAGGTGAAGATTTGATTTGGTTAGTTTCTAATTTTTATAAATAAGGTGTTTTAACTTATCGAGAACTGATATAAAATAATGTCTTAGTATTCTTTTGTAAATTTGAGTACAAATTGTAATAGATAATTTATGATGTAAAGAAGATTGATTTTCAATATTTATAGGTAGTGGTCACATAATAACAACAAAAATATTGTGAAAAATATAATGGCTGGAGAACAGCAGCAATTTTTTCTCAAATGGAATGACTTCCAATCAAATATGGTTTCATCGTTTAAACATCTGCGTGATGAAAAGAGCTTCACAGATGTAACATTAGCATGTGATGGTCAAACATGTAAAGCACATAAAATGGTACTATCTGCATGCAGTCCATATTTTAAATCATTACTAGAGGTAAGGCTATATAAGTAAACGTTTAAACTATATTAGAAATAATATAATTCTATTATAATTAATATCTATTATAATTAATAGTTAATTTGCAAACTATTATATAATAAATATTTATATAATGATTATAGGAAAATCCATCTAAACATCCAATTATTATATTAAAAGATGTAGCATATAGTCATCTTCAAGCAATTTTAGAATTTATGTATGCAGGCGAAGTAAATGTATCCCAAGATCAATTACCAGCATTTTTGAAAACAGCAGATCGATTAAAGGTTAAGGGATTAGCAGAAGCTCCTGGTGCCATTAAAAGGGAAGGTTAAATTTTTTACAACTATATACGGTATGTTTAATTAAGTATAATTTTATGCAAATTTATTAATAAAGTATAGCAGTATTGTGCAAATATTCAAGATTTTTTTAACTATTATTCTTTTATTAATTCCTTAATTATTATTAATTTTTAAGTACAAGCAAACAAATAATAAATAATATTAAAATGAAAGAAAACAATATTATTTTAAATTAAATTTTAATACGATTACATATTGTTAAAATGTAAAAGTTTAAATTTATTTAATAAATATTTATTTTTTCTAGTATAATAAATGATTATTTTTTAATAGTAGATGCTATCATTATAAACTTAAATTTTAACGTAATATACAACTTTTCTTATTTTTCATTGCATTTAAAAATATAAATTATAAGAGATATTTTTTTAAATTATCAGATTACTTTCCTTATTTAGACAGATATGGTTTTTAAGTTTTTAAAAGTTTGTTTCAATAATCATTCAAACATCATTAATATTAATTATTAACATTAAAATAGAAAATCTATTATTAAATAAGACTACAATTATCTATATATAGCTTAAATTAAATTACATATGCGCATGTTGACTTTATTTTTGTATTATAATAAATTATAGATATCAAATTTTAGAAATGACATTTAATAAAATATTCAAATAAATTTAATATTTTATAATATTATTTTAAATAAGTATAATACATTTATAGAAATCTTTAAACATCCACAAAGCTAAAAATTTTTCTGATTTGCTTATTTAAAAATACTTTTATCATGCAAAAATTCTTTTAAGCATTCTGAAAAGTATATATAATTAATTTTAAATTTGTTTAAAATTTATAATAAATATAGAAACACTATTTATGTATATATAGGAAACTACAACAGTTCTATTATTTTCTAAAATAAATATAAATTAATTTACATATTTTTCAGATATTTTGGAAAGTGTGCGGATTTAAAAAATGAGCGTAATGTTATAAAGTGATTGCGTTAATACAAACTCCACATATATAAATACCACACCAATTTAAACACATCTGCACTAGACATACTGACTTCTAGTTCTTGGCTAGAATTAATATTATCATAATGTAATCCAAAAACTATACTTATGAATATTATTTTTATTTAAATTTAAACTCTTTTTAATGAAGTTTAAATCCATGATCACATGGTTTGTTGATGTTTGTTTTGATCCCAATATTATTACAATTACAGTAATTATATTTTTCCAACTTATATTGCAGAAAAAATACAACTTATGACCATTGTTAAATGTATACATTGATGACCAGGGCTGTTTTGTGAAGTACTGAAAAGTAAATGTCATTTATTTAAAGTAATTACATTAAGTATAGTATTTAATCAGATTTTTAAAAATATTTATAATTTATGACTTGTGGTTGTCAGTATTGTCTCATAAATTTTTCTTAGGACAGTAATAATATGCAGAAATACTTTTTTAAGCTTCTTTTTTATAAATAAAATAATTTCTGGCCACTCATATAATTTTGAAAGTCTTATTACTGCAAGTCATAATTTTTCTTATATTTTTATTTTAAAATCTGTTACCTTTTGCTTATTAAAATGAGCCTTTAAAAAATAAATCGATAACTAGATTAATATAAAAGAATTGAGTGTTATGACTTTCAGTAATTATGGCTTTGTATAACCAAATACTGCCAGTAATGTTTATTGGCGTATGCACATTATTACCGATAGACCAAATTTATTTATGATAATAATATATTGAAAGGTTGATTGTCCTGAACAGAGGCAAATAAATTATTGTAACATAAAGGGAGCAAATTTTGTAAAGCTAGAGCGCACAGTTATTCTCTCTTTTAAAGGATAGGACCATTGGTGAGAGAACAGTGAACATTGCAAAAAAGAACTGCGATAAATTAAAAGAAATCAGAAATAAAAAATAGAATATATTGTCGAGTTTCGAATTAATTTAAAATTGTATATTGTTTATTAATACAGATTAATATAATTTTGGGCAATATTATACTTTTCGATAATTCTAACCATTGATACTATAAAATTTTGTTTCTAACTTATTGATGGAAAATATTGTTGCTATGTTTTTATGTATACAAACTTCAAAGAAAAAGTAATGCTATTTGTAATATTTATCTTAACAATCTAACATGCATTTTCTGTTTTTAAATAAAATTCCGATTAAAATAATTTATTGTTATGTTACTGTAACGATACGTGTACTTCATAAGTTGGTAGATAATAAAATAAAGTCAAAGCAACACAATTAGTTCGAAATTCCAAAAATAAATCTGTTTCGTTCATTGAAGTATTTAATTGTAAGCGTCATCTTCGTCATTAAATAAAAATAATAAAGACTTTGTAGGTATAAATGGCAATTCTTATAAAAAAGTATATAATTATATTTAATGAGTTCAATTCTTAAAATTTTAGAATTCTTACATATTTAACGATCACAATTGATAACAAGAATTTTAATATAAAAATATACTTTTGTAAAATATCAATCCATTATTTTTCTGTATATCGATTGTATTTTATAAATTAAGTTTAAAGCTTTTTAAAGGAGCTAACAAAAATAGTAATTCTTTTTGAAATTTTATAGATATTTTATATTCCTAATTTTTTGTCCTTAAAAATAATTTCTCTAATTATTGTTAGTTTTGATACTCACATGGCTCGATGATGTCTACGATTATGATATAAAGATGTGAGATATAAAATAAATTGTGTAAATATATGAAACTTTGTTTTATTTCTCTTTTTCTACTTTAATTACAATATTTGATTATAAATTTAGCTAATATAAGGGTAGTAGGTGCACCAACTACCTTTATTTTATCTTTTGTTTTCTGTATTAATTTTATAACCAAAAATTAAAAGAAAAAGATTACATATTAAAATATTTCATAATAAAATTAGCATATATTTGCATAGAAATATTAAAAATACTAAATTATCAGTGTATATAATTTTAATTGTTTTAATCGTGGTCTTTAATAAAATACGTACAAAAAGATATGATCACACTTTGAATGTAAACACTAATGAACAGAATTTGAAGTTTATATTCTTATAATATATTTTAATTCATTAATATTTACATATAAATGAATAATTACTTGTTTAATTGGATTGTTCAATTAACATTCGAATCAATCAAATTTATCATTATTGATCAAATCGAATAATTTCGAAATTTAAAAATATATGTATATGTAAAATACGGGATATATGATTAAAACCATAATTATGAAATATGGAAAATTTAAAAGCTATTTAATGTAATTGTTGATAATAATTAGTTTTGTTTAGTTTTGTTTTAAGTTTTGTCCTATCATTAAGTACATAAATAAATGTGTAAAATACTATATACATAGGAATTAATAATATATTTTATATTAATAATATTGAAAGTTGATTTTCTGTTACTTACATTATAAGTAAATTTATATAATAATTAAATAAATAATGTATACTAAATATAAATACATAACTAGTTTTGAAGCAAATTTAGATTCTTTTAACATAATACTTTATTAAATAAATAAAATTACAGAAAATTATATATAATCGACTACATAATGTTATGAAATTTTAATGTAAAACATTTTCATTTATTCATTTTTAGATAAAAATTTATTTTGAAGAGCAAAATTAAATATATTCCTAAGCATGCCGGTTTTTTAATCAATATTTAGAACAATTTTTGTCAATATTTGATTTACATTTTTTTTACTTGCCACAGAACCTGTTGATTATTGTATATGCACGTAGATTTTAATTAATTAAAAGACATTTATAAGTAAAATAAAAATGTTATATCTAAAATATTCACATAGGTAATTTACCATATTCTAGATAAACAATAAAGGAATTATTTATTTCCAGTATTCTTAAAACATAAATGGCAATAATTCTGTCAGATATTGTTATTGTTACTACTTGCACTACCGATTGTTAATATAAAAATTATAATCATTAAATAATCAATATTGAATTAAGTATTGAATCAACAATTTTATCAAAATTCTGTTAGGTTTATATTTTTAATGAATTTGCTATATTAAAAATTTGTCTTGAAGCCGCATTGAAGAAAAAATCAACATTATTACATTAATAAATAATAAAAATATAAATACATACAGTTTTAGTGAATATATAAAAATATATATTTATAACAACATAATTAAAAATAGATTTTTAAAACCTGAAAAATGAAAATGAATGGTATGTTGTATAAATTATGATTGTATTATAGTTTTAAAATTTTTATAGAGAAATGCTTTTTATACGCACATAATAGTAATCGTATTTTTTTCAACAGATGAATGAAGGAAATAAATAATAATAATATATTTAAATATTAAATGTAAATATTATAGTTTTCCAACTTTTTAAAATCTATTAATTAGAGAATTTTCCTTCTTTTTAGATAAAAAAATATTTCTAAAAATGTTTCAAAAATAAAAACATTAAATTAAGAGTACTATAAATATATAAACTATAAATATATAATTTATTTTTCATATTTTATATGGATAACGTTAAAATACATTAATCTTATAAAATTTAAATTTACAAAATTAATTTTTTGCTTTCAATCAAAATATTTAATAATCATTGATATTATTATTAATATAAATTTAATATCTTTGCATAATAAATTATTTATGGATTTTTTAAAACTTTTTTATTTATAAAATTTAGTAAATAATTATTAGAAAAATTTTAATTACGACAAAACGTATGCATAAAGGTATTTTTATCCGATTCTGTTTGCGAATATGCCAATTTATTGATAAAAATTAAAGCTAAATAAATTATTTTAGTACATTTTTAATTTATTTTATTTATTTAATTTCCTTGGACAAAATTGAAAGATACATTAGTTACACTAATAGAATTTAAGATTATATCACGTGACATATATATATATTAAATATTTAGATGTACTGATCCTTTGTAATTTCAATTGTATTGTAAAGTTTTTATAAATATAAAACCTTTATGTTAATGTTATAAAATATACAGTAGTTATTACTTTTATATGTTTAAGAATTTATATTCGAATTTCTGCCTAAATATAAGATTATTATCTTACCACAATTAATTGTACTGTATTGGAATTAAGATCCATCTCGAGAAATTTCTTTGTAGATACGTGCTAAAAAATCAATATATATATATATATATATGTGTGAGAATCACAATTGAAAGATACTATCAATTAATCTAGCACCAGATAAATTAAATTTGATACACGGTATCGGTACTAGGATAGTTAAAATTATTTGAGCTGCAACTGGATTTAACCCGGCAATGAATAGTAAAAGATCTTTTATTGTACTGTAAATATAGATTCTGGTATTCTACTAATTAGAACAAAACAGAAGTCTTTCATTAGAAATAAACATAAAATTGCAAATTAATAATTCGATATGAAGTTCAAGTTATTCATCTTTACTTTAAATCATTTTTTGTTAGTCTCAGAGGACTAATCTGTATAGTACAAAATACAAAAGATACTTCGATACTCAGCTGTTTAAAAATACCAGTATTGCATTCTTTTTTTTAATAATGTATTATTAAGATATTAAAGTCAAATCTATTTTTAATTCCTTTTATGCTTCCATTTATTAAACTTTGTATTACTTGTCTCTATAATTAGATAGAACTTATTTTAGGTGTAAATGTATTATTTTTAAACTTAGATTTTTGTAAAATGTATCATTTTGAAGCTTATAAATTATGAATAGAAAAGTTAAAATGAAACAAATAAAATAAATACAGAAATACGCTGGATTATATTAAATCAATTATTCAGATAGTAACAATGAAAGATTGATGACATCATAAAACCATGTTGATGGTGATATATCTGTTTAATATTAAATATGTAAATTATTTCATGTTAAAAACTACAAAATATTTAAAGAAATTTCGACCAATT